TGGCAACGACTTTCCCACGAAGTTCGCGTGCACCCAGCGGACTACCCCTAACAAAACAAAAGACCCCCCAAGTTGCTGGGAATTACGCTATAATCGATCCATTGTGCACAATGATTGTTGTGTATAATTTCTTGTTTATTTTGTAATATATTGGATATTAATAGCAAGTTAGTTAGCAACTTGATTACAACAAATTAAAAAAAAAGTATTTTTATATGGAGAAAGGAAGTCCTCTTCGCTTTTTTTTTTTTTTTCTTTAAAGGAAATTTTGATTGTTACTTCTTATGAAAAATATAAGTGCTCTGCTAATCCTTCTCCTATATATTTGGAGCAACAGCCAATATGCTATAAAATCTGATATTAAATTGATCACAAATGTACAAAATTAATAGGAATTTTAGAACAATACGAAAAGGCTCCCACTACTAAAATTTATAAGGAGTTTGCCCCAAATCTTACATATATGAAGCACGAATAGCTTGTGAACAGTGCCTGGTGGACCGGTTATGCCGTGATTTGTGTGACCTTGAGGGGCGTTTTGGTCTTTTGCTGATGGGTGGCAGCGGCTCTGCTGGTATTTTGCTTTTGTCCGCGTGGCTCTCTTGCATTGTAACTTGGGCCATTTGCCCAAGCGGGCCATTTTAAGTCAGTACTTCAATTTGCTGTTGCTGTGTGGGACCCCTGTCGCAATTCTCAACAACCTTCTTGTTAGTTCCAATTGGCAATTGGTACCAGACCTATTTGCTCCGCCGGTTGAGATCCGATCACAATCAAATCCAGTAGTAGCATATTTAAAGTTGCATTTTTCTAAATTCTCCAATCCGTTGGGACCAATGCACATCAAGTTGCTCGTTGCTTTTTTCTAAGCCCAAAGGACTTTTGATAGCTTTGACAAACCCTAATTCCGTGAGAATTCCAAAAGCCGGCAACTCTTGAGGACGCACAGGAAACTTATCTACACTATCCCAAACCTCCTAAACCCCGATGTGGGATATCAACCTCCACAAGGGAGCCTGCCCGACAGTGGGCTAAACCTAAAGAGGCCCGTTACCCCCCCGGTGAATGAGGCTGATGTCTTTTTTCTAAACCCAAAGGACTTTTGATAGCTTTGACAAACCCTAATCCCGTGAGAACCTCAAAAGCCGGTAACTCTTGAGGGCGCACAGGGAACTTATCTAAACTACCCCAAACCCCCTAAACCCCGATGTGGAATATCAACCTCCACAAGGGATGCTTACGGCAGTTTGCAGTGAGAGAGGCAATATGGGTCGATGAAATTCCTGTCTTGGTCTTGGATTTTCTAGATTGAACTAATGGGAATTAGAATTATTATATATATATATTTATTTATGCATGTTTTTCTTTATGAAGAAAAAGTATTTTAATTTTTACAAACGTGTTGGGATAAATTTCAAATACTATTTTGTTTATATCATAAATATATTTTTCAATCTCTCTTTTTCTATTTTGAATTATCTTTTTATTATACATACATTTATATCACAAAAAGTGCTCCAAAAATTATTTTAAATAATACCCTATCCAAATTCATTCTTTTGGTTTTTACATCTCAAGGATGATGTCTTATAGTTTGTCATGTGGAATAACATTTGGAAATTCAGTTTTTTTTAAATATTTTTTTTTTAGTGTAAGTATGTGACAGGTGTCGAATCTGTACAATAATAAATACCTACTCGAGAAAAATACAGATTTTGTATATAGCGGTTAGTAAGGTCGAATCCACAGGGACTGGGGATAATTCTTTTCTTCTAGAGTCCAAAGTATGGGGGGTTTTGGATTAAATACTAGCTAAATAAATTAACTGCAGGAAATAATTGATTAAGAGAAATAATTAAGAGAAAACTCTAGCCAAGGGTACACTTCATAAATGGTTCATGCACTGATCATCGACTCACAGATAATTCCACATTTATTAATAGACCAGTTATAGTCGTCATGCACGCGATAAACAACCTTGAGAAAGATATAAGTAGTGAGAAAATGTGGATGAAAGAGTGAGGAAGTGATATGATAAGAATGAGGGTGCATGAACCTAGAGGAATGCATCAAGTCGGGTACGGGAATGACTCCTAATCTCATGACTTTAATTTTCCCTTTGATTAGAAGAAAGAACTAGCGTGCTAAGGCTATTTTGTAGCCACACTCGCTCGTTTCCCTTACCGAAAGGGGACCCTCAAGCAAATGTACCCTATAACTAGCATGAAGATGCAAAAGCCTGAAATGAAGGGGAAAGGATTAGAGGATCATGCCAAATGCTAGAACAAACTAAGAAAAATGTATGAAATGTAGTGAAACATGCAAGTATGAACTAGCGAGGGAAATCCCTAAGGGTCTAGCGTTGGACTAGCCCATATCTATGCATTCCTACTAGCGTTGGACTAGTGAAAAATGGGACAATAAGCCACAACTAGCGTTGGACTAGTGTGGTGACGTGCATTCATCCATTACATTCATCTATGACTATAAAAAGCAAGTAGACATGCCAATCACATATAAACACATAGCACATAACACTTAGCATGCTCGACTAGATGCAAGAGCCTAATAAAGCAAATTAACACGTAGCAACAAAGGCAAGCAATCAAGCTAATGAACCTATTACATTCGCTAACTAAAACAAAAGGGGAATGGGAAAAATGGACAAAAATGCTCTCCAAGCCCTATCTATTACAAGCCAAGAGGTGTACACATACCCCATAAATAAATAAAAGAATGACTTGATAAAAGCAAAAGTAAATGAAATAAATGAAATGAATTAAGAAAAAGCAAGGAAAGCAAAGTAGACATGCAATTCTCACTTAGCACGTTGGATCACATAGGGGAGAGACAAAAAGATAAAAGAAGTTATACCTCCCTTGAGTTGATGCCCAAATGAAAGAAAAATGGCTTCAAAACAATAAAAAGGTTAAGGTACCACTTTAATTGAGAAAAATTAAAAGAAATGCGCAAAAACAAAGCTCACTTGATCGTAAAGCCCCTAAAGTCATGACTTAAGTGCAAATGAAGCAAAGCATAGTAATTAATTGAAACAAACAAACAACGAAGTTGCAAAATTAAAACTACCAAGGCCCAAATTGAGGAAATTATTCAATTGATTGGGTCCTAGTAGCATGAGTTAGAAGCCAAGGGGTCAAAGTGCAATTTTGAGAATTTTTTCATGCAAGTTTCATGCAGCCACCGAAGACACTCTCTGCAACAAGCATTACTAATGAAAGCTTTCTGCAATCAAACAAATTTTCGGCAGGCAGTTTCGCACAGCACCTTTTGGACTAATCCCAACCAAACATGGCTAACGTTTCAGTGCAAATGCAGCTCACAGATACATTTCATGCAAGCAACGACAGCGAAACCAGCTTCTACAATTTTTCTGCTGCAATACAATGGGTTTCTTGAATGCAGTCCTAAAACAGTTAACACCTCATCTAATCAATCAAAACTCACCGACATGGAACTAACGACTACCACAGAAATCAACAAGTCACCAACTTAAAGTGAGGTAATGTAAATTCCAGCAATCTCTCATGCAAAGGTCATAATGAAAGTTTCTGTAACCGAAAACATGCGTCTGCAACTTTTCTATTCCCCAACCGTGGCTTTCCTCCAATTTATCATGCAGACAGATCCAATGAACATCCAGATTTTTAAACAAAATAAGCAAACACAACAAGTCTTAATCATTCACTCAACTGAGCATTACATTTTTTTTGTCGCGAGATCAAAGCTGGAAATCTGAGTTGCTCCACAACAAAAGAAATGAAAGAAAAGTGCAGCAAGGGACGCAAGCCTTTATATGCATCAGGAAAACATTACAACCACCAACAGCTCCATGATGCAATTGAATGGAAAAATGCAGCAGAGGCACAAAAAGAGAAACTCCCGGCAAACATGCACACTCAATCAAGGCTCACGGTTTTATCCATCCAATAACCCAATAGATATCTGAACCCTATTTAGCAAATTAGCCTATATGAATAATTAATTATTGCGCACTAATCAATCATACATAAGGACTATAATAATTAAAAACAGGAAACATATAAATACCAATAAATGAGGAAGCGATTAAAATAATTTCGATCTCACAGTAATTGTTGAACCAAGTCTTCAGTTGTCCCCTTGACTAGAATTAAGAGGTTAGTCCTCCATTAATGGAGAACAACCATGCGAAAGAGCTAAGAAAAGAAAACTAAAACTATGCTAAAAGCCTAAACTAAAACTATTGATCGATAAGAGTTCTCTGCACGTTTGTCTCCTTTTTAAAGCCAACAATGACTAAAGCTTCTTATCCCTGTGGTCCCCGCTGGAATTGAGAATCAAACCAAAAGTGGGGCTCTACCGAATTCCTTGCTTTTAGTTTCCTATTGCCCGTAGAACTCCAATCTCCTAATCAGCAAAGAAAATACAATCTCTTTGTAGCACCATGTGGGCCCGGTTGTTTGAAATCCCAATTATCTCCAAAAAGTTCCTCATTTTTGTAGTTTTCTGTTTCACTTCCTGAAATTGAGTCCAATACCAAATATAAGTAAATATTAATAATTAAAACAATATTTGGCAAGGATAAAGGGGAAAATTAACAATAAAATAACCAACAATTAACACCCTATCAATTCCCCCCACACCTAAATCATGCTTGCCCTCAAGTATAAGAATAGCAATTGAACACCAAAATTTGACAATGGCTATTGCTCTAACTATCATATTGCCAAGATATCCAGAAAAATATATATCAAGCATCACAGTTAAGATCCAAGAAAAACTACTCCGGTTAGCTTCTCAACCACCAACTCCTCCAATTTAAAACAAACTAATCTAAGAAAAAGGAATGGTTGCTCACATTTATCAGCAAATGGTCCAACTATTAACCAAAATCTCGACATTAAGATCACAAACCGGCAAGCTGACTTATTCACATACTAACACAATCTTTATTTTATTTTTTCTTTATTTTGTTTTTTTTTCTTTTCTTTTTTTGTTTCTTGTTTTTTTTTTTTGAGTAACAAAAGACTTAGTCTATAGCCCTTAGAGCCTTTTGACGCGAACTCCAACATTTGCCAGATGGAGGAGCCCGGTTACTCAGCTCCAATTGCTACGGGACCACGCACTCATAGTAACAACTACCTTTTGACGCGAGAATCGACACTTTAGGTGAAGATCCCCGGTTACTCAGTAGTAACCACTAGCGGAGTACAATCAACTCTTATTTACAACCATATAGCACAATAACAGAAATAACAGCAGCCAGTCTCAAATTTCCAAATATGGAGAACTAAAATTAATAATTGGACCAATTCACATGAAAAATGCTAACAATCATTCCCTATGCCTAGAAAAGTTAACCAAAAATTGGAAAAGTTAAACAATTACCGATATTCACCAAAGAGATACCCCTGAACTCAACCACATTAACTTAATACCTTTTCATTACTAAAACTTGGCAATATCAGAATTAGAGACAACAATCCAACATTAAATTTGGTGTTCAACGATCCCCCCCACAACGATCCCCCCACACCTAATTCACACATTACCCTCAATGTGATAATGTAAGAGCAGAAGGAAGGAGAGGGGCAACGGTACTTCCCTGAAGTCATCAAAATAGGGGCGGTTCAGGTGAAAATTGTGGATCAACTCACAACTGGAGCTGGTGCCATTCGTGGCTTCACCATGGACTCTCGATATCACTCTAAGCAATAAGAGACTACAATTGCCAACAAATAATGGATGCCAGAAATTCAAAGCAATAACAATTTTAAAGCCAACCCAATGAGCAAAGTGCACAATTCAATCACCCAGAGGACATACAAATACCCCAACACTTATAGCACTGGCAATCAATAAGCACCTGTGGTCCCAAACTAGTCAAATGCAGAATCAATGGACCCCAAAATCGCAACAAAGTGGTCCAAACAAGTGAATTAGAAGCAACCAACTTCAACAAGGAAATGCAAACGGCACATGCATATCCCAATTCAACAAATAAATGCAGGAAAGTAGCCACAATACTAGAGCACAACTCCCAATAATGCAACAGAACAGCAACTCGAACAAACTAGGAACTGTGCTAGTGTCCTAGTAAATCAACAATTTTCAGCAATTAGACACAATCGGACCCAATATCGGAACAACTGTCTCCAATTGGACAGTCAATTACCCACTTCAACCTGCTAAAATTAGCAATTGACCACTGGTTAGAAGTCTAGAAACAGTTCAGACACCAAAACTCAAGAATCAAATAGGTAGTCCGGCACAGAGGATTAAGAAATGGAAAGCAACACTACAACCAGTACCACTGGTGCACAGACAGGAAAGAATTAAATTCAACGGCAGCAACTCAACCACAAGAGCTTAAACTTTAAAATAAGCAAGTATCTTCAAATAGCAGCAATACCGATAGGCAAAAGGCCTCAACCAGTACCACTGGTGAGTCACAGGCAAAAAGTAATCAAACGGCCAACAATTCACTAAAACGCAGAAAATATCCCAACTATGGCAGCAATTAAACTCAATTCAGCCCAAAGTGAACCCCAGAAAATGCCCAAAATATCACTCTCTTATATCCAACAAGAAATCCAACCTATGAAAAATAGCAAATGACCCCAGAAATTGGCAATTTCAGCAACCACAGGTCAAAATGCGAACAACAATAGAAGTACAAGGTTATTAGCTCGCAATCAGACAGGCGACCACATAAAATCAATGAATGTAAACAAAAAACTCCAACCAGTACCACTGGTATACACACAGGGAAGGTCAGGCGACCAACAATTTAACAAAAATCAGAAAATATCCCCACATATGGTAGCAATTAGACGTAATTGCACCCTTACAATGAAACCCAGAAAATACCCAAATTACTTATTGGCTTCAGCCACCACAAAACCCACGAAAAAAAAAATGTGCAAAATCTTAGGAATTGATGAACCAGAAAAACACTAATCGAAGAGGAAATTACAATACCTCCACCTGTCAATTTGGACAGGTGGGAATGGCTCGAGTGGCGGAGCAGCAACAGTGAAGAGGTTGGGGTAGAGTGGCGCGAGCTGGTGGGGGGTGGCGCGCTAGCTGCAGTCGCGTGACTGTTCAGGAGTGAAGCAGGAAGAGCTCGCGTGTGGTGGTGGAGAGAGGAGATCTGGCAGCGGCGTGAGCTGGTGGTGGAGGCGCGCGAGCTGGTCTGGTTGTGGGCGAAGCTGGAGCGCCTGGTGAAGTGCGAGGTTGACCGCTGGTGAGGGAGAGGCGGCGGCGGACTGGTCAGCGAAGGGGGAGATGGGCGGCGCTCTGTCGGGCTCGTGGCAGCTCCTGGCCGCGAAGTGAAGCTGCCCGTGGTGGAGGTAGAAGCTGCGAGGAGCTGGTGGCGTGCTCAAGTGGAGGGCTGAAGGGCTGGTGGCGATGGTGGCTTGGAGGCACGGCGGACAGCAGCTACGGCGAGGAGCAAGGGCCGCGTGTAGCTGAGCACACCTGCGACGTTCGGTGGTGGACGGCAGCGAGGAGAGAGAGATCGAAATGGGGAGAGGCGCGGCTGAGGAGGGGCGGCGATGGAGCTGCTGGAGGGCGTCAATGGCGGCGGACGTGCGGACGGCGGCCGAGGAAAACACAAGAAGAAGGAGGAGAAAAAGAAAAAAAAAAGAAGAAGAAAGAAGAAAGAAAAAGAAAAGAAAGAAGAAGAAGAAAAGAGTAGGGCTTCGTGCCCTTTGAAAATTTTTTCTGCTTTTTTTTTTCACGAGAAACGAGGAACTCCTGTCTTAGGCGTGGGCACGCCCAACTGCTATAGAGTCCGCAGATCCTGAACGAGAATTTCTTTCCCTCAGGCGTGACCACCTGGCGCGGGCACGCTTAACTGCTATAGAGTCCGCAGATCCTGAACGAAAATTTCTTTCCCTCAGGAGTGACCACCTGGCGTGGGGCACACTTAACTGCTATAGAGTCCGCAGATCCTGTCACCAAACATCAAACTATTAATTGACACTAACACTTAACTCAAATTTCCAAAATGTATGAAAACTAAAATAAATAGTCTTGGGTTGCCTCCCAAGTAGCGCCTTTCTTTAATGTCTTTGGCTAGACATTGTCATGTTTGTTCAGGGAGGATAAAATCTTGAGGCTCGTTTCAGTGTTTCATCCTCTATATAGTCCTGATAGCCCTCGTAAATAGAGTAATCTTTCAACACACGAGCTACGATCTTCTGTAAACTAGTAAATGGCGTCAAATACTCAAGCAGTGATCTCCATTCCTCATCCACTCCTCCATCAAGAGCATTCAATGGTTCAAGATATTTGACCATAGCTACTCTTAACTCATTTCTGCAATGAGACTCAAAAACTTCCGGTATAACAAAATCAATCTCATTAACAGAAATCATGGAGTAAGAGTTAAGAAAATGCGGGTTAGGGAATGGAGGTGGTGTCACCACATTTGATGATTCTTCACTGGATTCTTTCACTTGAATGGGTTGCAGTTGGGGTTCCATTTCTTCCTTTTCGGCTTCTTTTTCAACTGCATCTGTACATCTCTCTTCTTGAAAATCTTGCAGCTCCTCATCACTAGTCAGGCAAATTTCACTCTCATTCTCTTCCAGATCAACAATGATTTTCGAGGACAATTCTTCAATTTGATCTGCCAGATTACTCATTGCCTCCCTCATCATTCCATCTCTCATTTGTGTCTCCTGTTGAAATTGGTATGTATTAGTAGCTATTGATTCAACTATTTCTTCAAGAGACATACCTGACATAGATGATGATTCTTGAGACTCATACTGCTGAAAATTCATTGGTCCTGTTGTACAATTATAATTGGAATTATCCCACCATCCTTGATCATACCCGTTTGAATAAGAGTCATACCACGTTTGAGACCAGGGTGAAAAATCTCCATAATTATTGAATGAGACACTCAGATTATCTTGATATTCGGGGCACATACTGGTTGAATGATCCCTGGCATAACAAATTTTACAGGTTGCAGCAGCCATTCTTTCTCTAATAGAGTTTACTGCCTCTGAATATGCAAACTTAGCAAAAAAGCTAGTCTCATCGCCTTCCCCGGAAACAAAATCTAGTACATCACCAAAATACGGAGTGTTAGAAGCCATAAACTATATAGAAAAAAAAATAAGAGAAAAATAAATAAAAAAAATAAAAACAAGATGAACTCAAAAAGAAACAAATTAATCTGGCACCAGTCCCCGGCAACGGCGCCAAAAATTGACAGGTGCCGAACCTGTACAATAATAAATATCTAATCGAGAAAAATACAGATTTTGTATATAGCGGTTAGTAGGGTCGAATCCACAGGGACTGGGGATAATTCGTTTCTTCTAGAGTCCAAAGTATGGGGGGTTTTGGATTAAATACTAACTAAATAAATTAACTGCAGGAAATAATTGATTAAGAGAAATAATTAAGAGAAAACTCTAGCCAAGGGTACACTTCAGAAATGATTCATGCACTGATCATCGACTCACAGATAATTCCACATTTATTAATAGACCAGTTATAGTCGCCATGCACGCGATAAACAACCAACCTTTCCTTAATTTCTCGATAGTTAAGGTACGACCGTTAACTATTTCTCTAACCCAAAAACAACCCTAGGTACGACCGTAGGATTTAATTTCTAGATTGCATTAATAATTAGAAAGACCCAATCCTAACTAACAAACACGCTACGAGGGTTTGTTTAAGCTAGATCGTATGCTCCCCTGACATAAACCCAATTACGCCAGTTGCTACTAAGATAGAGATAACGAACAATTACGGATTCAATTACCTCTATTTAGCAAATTAGCCTATATGAATAATTAATTATTGCGCACTAATCAATCATACATAAGGACTATAATAATTAAAAACAGGAAACACATAAATACCAATAAATGAGGAAGCGATTAAAATAATTTCGATCTCACAGTAATTGTTGAATCAAGTCTTCAGTTGTCCCCTTGACTAGAATTAAGAGGTTAGTCCTCCATTAATGGAGAACAACCATGCGAAAGAGCTAAGAAAAGAAAACTAAAACTATGCTAAAAGCCTAAACTAAAACTATTGATCGATAAGAGTTCTCTGCACGTTTGTCTCCTTTTTAAAGCCAACAATGACTAAAGCTTCTTATCCCTGTGGTCCCCGCTGGAATTGAGAATCAAACCAAAAGTGGGGCTCTACCGAATTCCTTGCTTTTAGTTTCCTATTGCCCGTAGAACTCCAATCTCCTAATCAGCAAAGGAAATGCAATCTCTTTGTAGCACCATGTGGGCCCGGTTGTTTGAAATCCCAATTATCTCCAAAAAGTCCCTCATTTTTGTAGTTTTCTGTTTCACTTCCTGAAATTGAGTCCAATACCAAATATAAGTAAATATTAATAATTAAAACAATATTTGGCAAGGATAAAGGGGAAAATTAACAATAAAATAACCAACAATTAACACCCTATCAGTATGGTTTCAAATTCAAGATTTTTCACTTATATCTCCTCCCTCGAAGCATCCAACCATCCATTTACGCTTTTTTAAACTTTCTTTTCTTTTTTTTACATACATCATAACTCATAAGCACACGTGGACCGTGTTTGGATTTGGATAGTATTATTTTTTAAAAATATTATTATACAAAATATATTTCTCAATCATATTTTTATTACATATACATCATATAAAAAAAATGTTACTCCGTAATTTTCACTTCTGTCCGTTTGGGCAAATGGCCTGGTTACTCCGCAATTTTCATGAACTCTGGCGGTGTTTGTCGGTTGCATGATTTTTGAGCGGCTTGGGGAAACGTGGGTGCAAACAACCTCATTGAATCGGTGGACGTTCTTTGCTTTTCCTTCTCTCTCTCTTCCTTGCTCTCAATTTCAATCCTTACTCTCTTCTAATTACCACTCTCTCTCCTGCTCTTCCAGTTAACGGACCAAATTCTCCCCTGCACTTGCTTACGCCTTGTGGCAAAGATCAGGAATCAAGATTAATCTCTCTCTTCTCCTAGCCACCATCCCTCCTTCCTCTAGGCTTCAGCCCACCAACCCTTGCCTAGGGATGGCAACGGGGCGGGGGACCCCTCCCCCGCCCCCCGTCCCGTTGCCTATTAATTCCCCCCACCCCCGCCCCATCCCCCGCCCTGCCCCGCTTCCCCCGCGGGGGCATCCGCGAGGTTAATAAAATTTTATTATATTTAAATTTTAATAAATAATTAAGTACTAAAATATCAACACATCAACAAATTATTATTCATTGTAATTTTACAATTGAAATTCATAAAAACAATCAAACAGAAGTTATTTGAATACAATCCAATATGATGAAATAAATATAACTAAAATAGTCAAGTTTTCACTTTTAGTACAAATACAATCACTAATTCATTATTGTGTTTGTGCTTTTTTTTGAGAAAAAAATGTTATTCTATTAAGTGTAATTAGAAATTTAGTATAAATGTATTAGTAAATTTAGTATAACTAATTAATAAATTCTATTAGTAGACATGTATAATTATTCATATAATTGATAATATCAATTATATTACATAAACTAATATACATTATATAATACATCTAACTAATAATATTATTATCATAAGTTTATAACTAATTAACTTACATATTATATATAATTATATATATATTTTTTGGCAGGTGGCGTGTAACGATCCCACCGCACCCAGAGGCGTACCAAAGGGTTTGGCGGACCGCCTGCCTAGCTCGCGCCAGGACTCACTCACTCACATTAATTTCAGAGATAACATTACTATTGGACAACTGAACATTTACTCTAACATAAATTTGTCCAATAAAAGAATCATAATACCAAAAGATACTATTCACATTTATACATCTCCAAAAGTACCATTTACAATATGTACATCTTCAAAAGGGATATTCCAGTCCACTACATCACACAAAAGCGAAGACTAAAACCACAAAGTGGATCTTACACAGAGTCCTAACTCTAACTGTGAGAAAAACATCCTAGAAAGTCCAACTAGTATAATTTCAAACGTAAATTCTAGGGTTATAACTCTCGTGAAGTGTGATCCCCGCGTACGACCCCTGTTAAGGAAATAACAAAGAAAAACGGGTAAGCTTAAAGCTTAGTAAGCAAGCAGGGGCAAAACGGTAAATTTTGCATCAAGTCAGATATTCATGCCACAATTACATCAAAATCAAAGCAAAAGTAACAAAACAATTCAAGGATACGGATTGGCTCCAAAGCCAAGTCATTCGCCATGCGTGATCACCTGTCGACCCTCCGTCGACCACAAGGAATGGTCCGTAGAACTCCGCTTTCTTCCTCCGACCACCTTACGCCCACTCTGGCCAGTATCCATACACACACAAATGGCTCGAGCTTCGAATCGTATTCGAATTGCATTCACAAAATTGGTGATCTTAAGGATAGTTTGGACTAACTTCGACCAAGCCCTAACTGGCTCGAATAGTCCGTCTAGCCTTTAGATCGGGCCCACTCATAGTTCCACATCACACACACACAAAAGGTCATCCCAAGCCACATGCTTCAGGGATTCAGTCCCAACACAGTTCATATACCATAATTCATATCTATTGCAATACAAATTAGGGTTTAGGTCGAGTGAGATAAAGTACACGCTCGCCTAAGCACCCTTATATCACACACAGTTCACATTGGTGACATTTAACACATAAACGTCCCAGTTACTTACATAGAATACAAAGGTTGACAAAAACGGCACTTGGTCAAACTCAACCGTCAGTGGGTCCCACCGTCTCCGAGCATTTCGTTACCGTCTGTGACAGAAGGTTGAGTCATAACATTGCTCAAACAGGTATCCAAATGCATACGAATAAGGAAAACAGCAAAGGCGACTCATACGCGCGCGGAAATGGAAAACGGAAACGGAAATGGAAACAGAAACGGAAACTTGTCCGTTTTGGCGTCAAGAACTGTTTTGAACACAATGTAGGTTACGATTGTCGGATCGAGGCGTATGAGATACCGTCGCGAAGCTAAGGAGAAAATCTATAACTTTCATGAAGACACTTCAATCCAGTTCTGAACGGAATCAGGTCATAAGTATGAAACAACGTGCCAGGAGTTCGCACGTTTAGATGACAGACAGGGTCTAGTGGAAGAATCATCACTTACAACTCACAGACCCAATTCAAGAAATTCCAAAGTCATTGGAAAGCTAAGACATAAGGCTAAAACTTTTATGTTTTGGCCAAGACTTGGATCAACTCAGAACCAAACGAAAAGTGGGTGTCAAAGTACCTGTCAGAACTGCCCAATGTTCCAGGCAGTTCTGACACACGATCTTATTTTGGCTTTAACTGGAGCTACGAAGCTCAGATTTGGATTCACTTTATACCGTTTTGAATCTGAAACAGAGCTCTACAGTTCTTATGAAGACACCACCACCCAGTTTCATCATTATCCATGCGAACTGAGCATGGTCAGAAGCTAATCTACAAAACGTGGTCAAACCTGAATTTGTAAGCTAAGTGAGGGTTTCGGCTATAACTCAGCCTACACACCTCCGTTTGACCTGAAATTTTGTAGGCACAACAAGCACTTAAGAAGCTACAATTTCTCTGAAGGGCTCAGGTTCAAATTCTGATCAGAGTTGGGTCAAAATTCGTTGCAAACAGGCTGCTCAAATGGTCCAGCAAAACAGGTTCCGAAAAAAAAACAGCAAACTTTGCCGATTTACTGGTATTTATAGGGAATGAATTTGGAACTGATTTTTATACCAGAGATAGTTCTGTGAAGCTAGTTTCTAACGCTACAAATGGCATCCCAATCCGAGTTTTTTAGCCCAAGATATAGTTGCTTTACCAAAACTGATTTCAGGCCACTGTTTCATCCGAAGAAACTGTTTGTGGCATATGGTTCCATTTTTTTTTTTTGATTCCCAAATTAGTCTTGGTTGCTCAAGAGCTTATCAATCAAACAAGTACACCTAGTATCCAGCATGCATAGCAAACATATATAGCCAAAATTTAGGCAAGAATCATCATAAAATTGGCATAGAAATTGAACTACAAAGCTGGAAAATCACGAACTGCTCATATGCATGTTTATAATAGGATTTCTTTTTTTGTTTTTCAGCAGGGATACTTGATTTTCTAGATATATAAGATGCGTAAATGAATTATAAATGAAATAGGTGTATAGCTCATGGTACCTTTTAATAAAAGGGCAGTAAAGTGCAAGAAAATTCCACCAGATGTGCAGCAAAAATCCAGCTTAATCGGCTCTCAACAGAATTGGTTTTGGCTAGCTTTGTGTGCAATTTTTGTAGTAAATGAGCTGATAGTTTCTTGCTAGATTCGGTGAAGATAAGAAGATTACCAAAGTATTTACTAAGCCTGGATGTCTGGTATTTATAGCAGCCTAAGCTAGCAGGACAAGGATTGGAGTTTTGCCAACTCAATGGCTTGGAAAATTGACAAGTGTTCCTACCTGCTTTGTCATGCTTTGGCTGGCAAAAAAATCATGAAGATTCAAGGCTTTCCAGCCTTGGTATTCTCGGTCAAGATGACCAGAATCGGAGTAAGATTTTTTGGCTTCTCTTTTTTTTTGGCTAAATATAGTAAAGGGTCGTAGTGCAATTTCGGTATTCATCGTTTGGTCCTTGAATCTTAATCGGTTTTCATCTTTGCTCCTCACAAGTTTTCTAGCATATTTTGCTAGGTGAATGAGCATCAAATTGGAACCTAAAGCTCGGTTAGTAAGAGTGGATTTGTAGCTAGGATTTTACATAATTCAAGTGGCGTTTCAATTTTCAATCTGTTATAGAAATTCAATTATGCATTTATCTTAACCATTCCTTTGTTACATGTAATTTTCTAATATCTAAGCAATAAAAGAATTCATAACATACATGTAATTTTTTAATAATTTTAATTTTAATTTAATTTAATTTTTTTCTTTTTTTCTTCTTTCTCTTTTTTTTTCAAGTTATCACAATAAAAAGAAAACTAGAGTTTTCTACTAAATCCGTACAAAATAGAACAAAATGCCCTTAATATCACATGATATTGAAATCAGAGGCTAACCGGGATCTCACATGGCGGGGCGAGGGTATACTCCCCCGCCCCCCGCCCCGTTTCTAAGCAGGGGGAAAAAATTCCCCCCGCCCCCGCCCCACCCCCCGCCCCAACCCTCCCCCGCGGGCACCCGCCCCCATTGCCATCCCTACCCTTGCCACCTCATTTGTAGAATAGTTCCACCAGTTATTTCTTAGCATTTTATTCTAACCTATCCTTAAACACAAGTTGATTTGGAATTCACCATTTAAAGATTCCAACTATTTCTTGATTTTGAATACCACTTTTATTGAAAAAGAAAAAGAAAAAGAGAAACTCACCTATTTTAGCACATGATTTAAGAACACAAAATAACCTATAAATTTGCAGCTTATGGTACAGATTACCAAAAAAAAAAAAAAATCATCAGCCAAGTAAGAGAAAGAATCATCAAATAAGTAAGAGTTATAGATCCAAAGAACCTAGAAAGTAGAAAAGAAAATTTTAAGCTCAAGAAATTATTAGATATGTATATATCTAAGCCATTATCTTAGTGAAAATTCAAAGAGCTTCTTCCATGCTCCTCGTACTCACCACATAAAGTGTTGCCTCCTATACAAATTATCAAAACCAAAATCATCAAAATCAAAAAAAAAAAAAAACAAAGTGATAGACAGCCTAGAAAAGGGAAGAAAGAAAGAAAATATGTATATTCATCCTTGCAACTTAAACTTGTTCAATATTGAGAGTCCGAGACTCATTTTCAATAGATGATGTCCTGTCCAAAGAAACTATTTTTGTTCCCTCCATTCTTGAACACTTTTAATCTATCAATTAAACAATCATCTGAATTGCAACAAAAAAAAGAATAGGATCCAATATGCAACCCTGATTAGGAGACATGGTAGTATATATAAACCGAGGTCATGGTGGGATAGAGTTGAATAAAAATTATGTGTCACGAATATAGACCTATTAATGTAAACAAAAAAGCCGCTGAATATACAAAAAAGATTAATTCAATTTTACATTGATTTGAAAATATTTTTAAATATGTTTGATTGTTCATTCAAGTCTAGCAAACAAAAGAAAATGACAAACCCATTTTATAATTGTCTTTCTTTATTTCTTTCTTCTAAAAGATTGTTAAATGTGAAGTACTAGCAAATAGAAAGTGTCAAAAAAATGAAAATTGTCAAATTGCTTATCTTAGAGAAGCAACGTGACTAATAAGCAAGGCTACACATTACATGTATAGCCATATGCCTTTTAGTTCTACCTAATTTTAGGCATTACTTACTAAGTAATGCTATATTAAAAATGTTAAATAATCATGCCTTTTAGTTTTGCCTAATTTTAAAAATATAAGATAACCTGATTTCAAAGTCATGTTTATTTGTGCAATTAGGAAAAAACACACACTCACACACATGACTACTGTATCTAACAAAGAAAAAAAAACAAATATAATAACAAAATAATGAGTCTCAGCTACCTGACGCGTCGCGTCAGGGCTTAAAAACTAGTAACTCTTTAAATCGGCAGTGAATATAACGATCCTGATCATGTGTAGGCCTCATATACATATGATTGGAGGTTAGAATTTATTTATTTTTTTGATAAAACATAAGCCAATATTATTAATAATTTAGCTGGAAATCATCCAACACGATTTGTTTGACAAAGTAATCTGCACTAATAGTAGAAAATACATGGAACATGTCATTGATATATTTGATCTGAAAAATCATAAGATTTAACAGAGTTACAAAATATAAAAGATTACACTGTGAATCACAAAACATCAAATCTCACCAAGGTCGCCTGAGAGAGAAGAAAACTCTCACTAGGATATTTTAGGAGAGACTTTATTAAATAAAAATAAGAACAAAGAAGAAGGGAGAACAAAGGAAGAGAAACCCTATACCACTATCTGTCTCACTTTTTATTATATTACTATTTTTCCTTCATAAATATCATGTTTTAGTTCTTTTTTGTTTTCTTAAGATACACAAAACTTAACAAATCAAAATGCATAAAAAATGAGATTTTTTATGAATTTTCAGCTGTATTTTTTAATTTTCTATTATATATTGCTTTTTTTAAGCTGTTGTACTTATTTTTTTAAAGAAAAGCCAAAGATTGGTATTGATTGAACAGAGCTAGGTAAGTATAAATTTCAGACAACATGACCCTCAGGAACTATTTGATTCTTGTTCCACTAACTTCTGTTGAAACTTGAGAAAATAGCTACATGAAAATGAGATTCTCATTGTGGATATTTTCACACGACGGAAGTTATAGAAGTTAGGAATCACATTACGAAATCAAAGCAGGCAGCACAATCTAGTGCTTGGCAAGCGGTAAAGGACTCTATGCTTTCGCAGTAGAGACGTGTTATTCAGATAATAACAGTTCGGTAATATATCTTGTGAATTGTGACCACAGTCCTCAACCATTAAAAGGAAATGGTAAAGAACTCTTTACCATATTTCAGTAACGCTCGATTTGATGGGAGGCAAGGTTTGATCCATTAACTTTTCACATTACCAAGACTTTGGCAGTGACCACATGAAGGCCCAATGACAATATTATGCATATATAAATAAAGTTAAATAAAAAAATAAAAATAGAAGTGGCCCCTACGGCCACGGAGCACTAGCAGGGGTAGATGGGTAAAGACAGACGAGGATAGGCGAAGGGTCCCCACTTCAAGCCTCCCTTCAACTTCATGGATTTTTCCTCTCGACAATGTCGTCGTCGTCAACGTGAACGGCAAAGTCTTTTCCCTTTCGGTGGTGACCCGCTATTAATAATGGAGTGTTGTCGCTTTTAGTTGTCCGTGCAATGATGAAAAGTGCAAAGCAAATCATTTGGAATTAAGCTAAAACCTTATCACTTGTTAAAAGGGATAATTTCAGAAATCTCCCCTGAGGTTTCTAATAATTTCACTTGGCTCCTCTAAGGTTTCAAAAATACACCTACGTTCCTTGTCTATTTAAAATGACAATACTAACCTTAATATTTTTAATAAAACTCTCTTTTTGCCATATTTATGCAAAGGATGGATTTTATAATTTTTTTTACCATTTTCCTTGTTATGCGTTTCTCTTATATTTCGTTAGACTATATATATAGTTTACCTCCCCTTTTTCGTGTGACCGAAATTCTTCCCTTTAGTCATCAAAGTCTTTGCCGCACCATTTCCTGGAAATGTCCCCTACTTCCTTAAGGAGCTTTCATTAAGTCATCAAAATGGCAATATGGCATGATCGAGCAGAATAATATGATGTCGTCAAAATAATTTGGGAATATTAAAAAAAAAGAATAGGAATATTGACAATCTCTAAGTAGGTTGTAAATTTTACAAAATTTATAACTGGGGCATGGGTTATTACTTACGAAGTAAAGCAACTATTAATTTTATTGTTAAATAACTAAAATTACCCTCATAGCAATGTGGATCTTACTGAATAAAATTGTGTTTATTGATACGTGTAAATATACATTCAAATATGCACGTATGATATATGTGCACATACAAGTGCCCTTATATGCACATAAGGGTTAATTTGTAATTTAGCTTGCAACAAAAATTTCTCTTTTTATAATATGTGAATAATAGCCCTTACCCCATTTATAAATTTCCTAAAACTTACCACCTATTTATGAAATTTCACACTTCTCATTCCCTTTTTTCCAAATTTTCCCATACAATTAAAGGGAAATAATTGTCTTAATTAATTTAGACTATCTAAATCCTGCGTTATAACAGTATAGCAAAAACAACAGTCCATATAAAAAATTATTCATACCAACAGTAGCAAAATTGTTCACATCCTATGCCATAAAAGAATAGCAAAAAAAAAAAATCCATAAAAACAACATATTGTGGTTTGTTTGGATGGGAATTTATTTGGATGATTTATTTGAGATAATTACTATAGCACTTTTTGAGATGTGAGATAAAAAGGTGACAACATTGTGGCAACATTATTAATCTTTTGACTTTTTGCATATGAAATGGGGAGGAAGACCCTTTAAATCGGTCATGGTCTCCTATTAGTTCAACTTTCATCATTGATTCCTCAATACTCAACAATCATACTCGTAGAAAATCAAAAGAAAAACAGAAAAAAAGAAAAGTACATACCTTTGGCAGTCTCAAGACTTTCAGCCTCCTCAAGCTTGCTTGTAAAAATTTCAGGTACAGTGAGATCATATCCATCACAATTTTGTAATTGTCAGAGTTGTTTCTTATCTCATCAAGTACATAATTGCTTTACTTGGCACATAAATCTTAGTTCAATTGTTGGAGTCTTAATTCGATATTTTTTTGAGTTGCTTCTTAGCAGTGAAAACTAACAAAAATATAATACACACTTTTGTGCATTGGCAGGGTCTCAGCGTCTTCATCTTAATTTTGGTTGTCCAAGTTTGCAAGGTAAAAGGATATCATGCTCCATCTTAATTTTGTCATATTGAAGTTTTTTGTCACTGCATTCATGTTATATTAATATATGGCTTTTCGAGGCATAAAAATCACAGATTACTTCCTTTTGTTTCAACATGGATTGCTCTCTTCATGCTTTTCACATCGCTGGCACTTTTAGGCAAGAAAATTGAATTTTATCATAGTTTCAAATTCTTATTAACTTTTGGAGAAGATAAAATGTGAACAGAGGGCTGGATCTGGGCCGTAATGATATATGTATGTATGTATGTATATATGTCTACATGCATGCATGCATGTATATGTATATATTTTATTTATATTTATATATTAGTCTAGGCATATTCTTATATGTGTAAATTAACCTAGTCTCCCATATATGTTTGTGATCGTATTAATTCAATCTTCCCAATCCTACAAGTAGATCTCGTTGAATCTAAGTCAAAATCCAAGTTTTGGTGTCAATTTTATGGTACAAGCAAAAGGATACGTACACATATACATACTATGGGAATCAATGGTATTTAAGGAGATGCAACTCTCTAGAGAGTTGCAATATACTTTTTGGATTTAAAAATATGTGCAATTCTTTGGATATATCTATAAGTGTAATCGTTTGGACTCCTAACTTGTAGCCAGAGTTGCATCTCATGCTTTGCAAGGTAGGCAAAGACAAATTGGTTGATAATCGAAGTATTTGATCAAATACAATTCCACTAGCTTTCCTTGGACACTCCCGGAACTTCCTTCACGAGGGCCATTGGTGGTCTGCTCTGCTGCTAGTTCAACTTATACCATCCGTTCCTCAGCACTCAACAATCATAACACCTAATCTTGGCAGAGTCTCAAGGTTTTCAGCTTCCTCAAGTTTTCTAGTCAGTTTCAGGTATAATGAGATCATATCCGTCGGAATTTAGTAACTGTTGGAGTTCTTCTCTTATTTCACCATGTTATACTGATAGCTTTGCTTGGCACCAACATCTTGATTCAATTATCATTCATTCATCAAAACTCAACAATTATAGTCCCGAAAGCGAGACCGAACTAAAATACAACATTTTGTTTTTTGACAGGATCTAGCGGTTCTCAACTTCTTCAAGTTTTCAAGAAAACTTGTCTTGATTTCAAGGTACAATAATAACAAACTTGATCTTGAAACTGTAAATTTTTGTAGTTGTTTCTCATTTCATCATGTTATGGTTAGATTTGTGAGGGCCAAACATCTTGGTCACTTGTTCTTCTTTCAACACACGGAGTGCTTTGTTCAAGCTTTTTACACAATCGACAGTTCTTGGCAAGAATTTGTAACAAAGGACAGAATGAGATGATCCAAACCTGGACCTAACTAATACTACCAAAACTAGATCCGGGGACAGGATGGATCTATAGGAGTAAATTGATCCTGTTGAGTGTGGAAACATATTCGGATCTTGGCCTTAATCTTATAATTTATAAGCTTTTACATAAAATCTTGAATTTTTATAAAAATTTTCTTACACCAGATGCATATCAAATTTTTTGTTATAAAAAAAAGTTGCATATCAGTTTCATTTACTAAAATGCATAATTGAAATTTTAATTTAATGTACTCAAAATTAAAATTAATGAAATAAAAAATTACACAAGGTATCTAACCCAAAGGCTAATGAAGTAGGTTTTCGTGCATAGCTCTTCTTTTCTTTTTTGTTTTGGGACAAACAAAGAACATGCATTTTCCTGATGAAATTTTTTTAACAGATGAATCATGCACTTAAAAAAAAAAAAAAAAGTTAGCCGCATCAAGTGGGATAAATTTACACCACAAAATCAATGGTGCGATGATCGAAATATAATACAAACTTTTATATTTTGGCAGAGTTTTGTAGTTCTCAACTTCTTGAAGATAACTTTTTCTCATTTCAAGTTACAATGATATCACATTCAACCTTGATTTTGTAAATTTTTGTAGTTGTATATTTAGATTTCTAAGGCCAAAAAATCTTGATCACTTTTTTTTGCCCTTTCAATACATAGAGTGCCCTCTTCAAGCTTTTTATAGGGAAAATTGTTCAAAACATCCCTTACATTTTATAAAATAACTTTTTTCATCCCTTGCTTTTAAAAGTGTAGTTTTACGTCCCTTACAAATTCATATTGATCAAATTTGGTCCCTACCTAGGTTTCCTACTAATTTTTAGTCGGAATCCATTACGTGCCTTGCATGTAATTATTTTTTAGGGGTAAAATTGTCAAATCAATTTTATATAATCTGACTCATAGTCCCTCACATTTCGCAAAATGAATTTTTTCGTCACTCATATTTTACAGAATAAATTTTTTCATCCTTCGCATTTTATAAAATAAAATTTTTTATCCCTCATTGACTATGTATATGAATAGTTTTTTTTTAATCTACGTATATATCTATTTGATTTTACCTGAATAATACGAATAGCATATAACATATCTCTATTTGATTTCACTTCAACAAGTTAATTGTAATTATTCACATGCTATTCAATAGATATATACATGGGTTTAAAACTAACAATTTTATTTTTAACCCATGAATATATTTATTTGATTTCACCATGTGAATTTGTTCAATATTTGTGGCCTTTTCTCTTTTTGTAATACTTCATTTATTGAGTTGTATAATAAGGCCATCTAATTAATGAGTCCTAATTTGAATTCTATAGTCATGCTAATGAATTGCAGTTTAATTTTGAAACTTCTACTCGCCATCTTTAAGACCAACAATTGAATTACTTATTTGTGATTGTCTTAAAATTTGAAAGTGCTGATTACTTACTTCTTTTTGTCATACTTTTTCTTTGATTATTTTTTTATCAAATTTAATTCGATATAAAACACTTGACAATGTCCAAATTATTTAATTTTGTCTAAATAGCCTAATTGTAGTTGTACACATGCTATTTGTGTTGTTCAAGTGAAATTAAATAGTTATATATATGGATTTAAAGAAAAATATTCATACACATGATCAATGAGGAATGAAAAAAGTTATTTTGTAAAATGTGAGTGATGAAAAACTTCATTTTGTGAAATGTGATGGACAAAAAATTCATTTTATGAAATGTGAAGGACGAAAAAATTTATATTGAGAAATATGAGGGATTATGGATTGAATTGTGTAAAATTAATTTAACAATTTTATCCTTAAAAAATGATCACGTGCAAGGCACGTGATAGATTCCAATAAAAAATTAGTCGGAAACCTAAGTATGGATCAAATTTGACCAATATGAATTTATAATGTATTAGGGTGCAACTCCTGTTACCTATTTCATTTAAATTTTTTGGTTTGATACACTCAAAATTTAAAAATCGACAGAAAAGAAAAAAAAAACTACCTTAGTAATCTATTTGAAAACTAATGAAGCGGGTTTTCATGCAATTTACATGGTTCTTCATATCACATTGATATTTCTCCACATATTGTAGTAAATATTTTATTTTTTTTGCCAATGGGAAGAATCATAGATGAGTAATTGGACTATTTTGTCGTTTGGTATTTGTCGAATGAGACGCAATGAGTGGTGAGTAATTCGACATACACACCAATTGACCTAAAATTTATTTATCAAAAAAATTTTAAAAAGTAATTAAGATACCATTTGCCACAAATAAGAAAAAGAAAAATTATTAGTGAGAAGAAACATCATGTTGTACCCAAAAAATATAAAATTACTACTGTATACCCAAGAGTGTTTCTGCTTGTATACTTCAAGTACATTTCATTCAGCGCAAGAAAGTTGTGATATGACAGAACTTGTATTTGATAAATAGTTGAATATGAGAAAAGTCTTTTCATCTTGACATTGAGAAAATTCTAATAATACTACTATTAGTGCCTTTGCGTCATTGAAATGTTGATTAAAAGTTGAGGATACCATTATGTAGAATCCAACATTAATCGGCTAATTGTTTAGTTTCCTAACCGGGTTCAAATTTGTCAAACTAAGTTTGGAAATGCCCTGTTTCAAAATTTTCCAATGGATTATTATGCTGCCTTTATTGAACAACGTTATTGGTTGATAACTGGAATTTTTAGAGATTCTCTCGTCACTTGATAGGTAATGGAGTGCATTGGAAAATTAGCCACGGATCTTTGGAATTTGACATTCGAAAAAGCAAAGAAGTGGTACTATTTGCGTGATAATCTAAGGTCGCTAGAAACGAAGTTGGAAGGATTAAGCGGCAGAAAATCTGACCTCGAGTCGCAAGTGACAAATGCAGAAAGATCAGGTACTAAGAAAAGGAAAAGTGAGGTTGCGAACTGGTTTGAGAAGGTAGCAAACATAGAGGATGAATTCGGTGCATTGAAAACGAGTATAGAACAGGGTTGTCTTCTGAAAAATGCATTTAGCGGTGGGGATAGAGTGGCGGAAATGGACGCAACTGTAGAAGGCCTTATTAAGCAAAGTAAGGATTTTGGTGAGCTTTGCCTTGGGGTTTTTGAGAGCAGAGGTAAGCCACGAGTGACAACGAAATTATTTGGAGAAAAGTTTGACAGAGATTTGAAAGATATCTTAAGCATCTTAAGGATTGGAGAAAAGTTGGACACCAATGAGATCTTAAGGATTGGGATCTGGGGGATGGGTGGCGTGGGTAAGACTACATTGGCGGAACACATCCATAATCACCTCCTTAAGAATACTCAATCCTTAAGGGTTTATTGGGTTTCTGTCTCCCAAGATTTTACCATCAAAGGGCTGCAAGGTGACGTTGCTAAACGCTTAGGGCTTGATCTGTCACACGAGGATGATGAAAAAGTGAGGGCACGTAAGTTGGGTGACACATTCGAGAAAATGGAGGAAATGGTAGTGCTCATATTGGATGATGTTTGGGAAGAATTTCGTTTAAACAGCTTAGGGATTGGTGCAAGAAATTGCAGACTGATTTTGACTACACGCTCATTAGAAGTGTGCAACCGCATGCGATGCCAAAGCAAATTTGAATTGAAAACTTTGGACACAGAGGAAGCTTGGGGTTTGTTCGAGCGTACACTTGGCAGCGAGACCGTGCTTGACGGAGGTTTGAAAGATACTGCCAAGTCCGTTGCGAAAAGGTGTGGTGGTTTGCCTCTTGGTATTGTCGTAATGGCTGGGAGCATGATAGGTGTGACCGACATCCATGAGTGGAGAAATGCATTGGTAGACTTGAATAGAGTAGAGCACGGTAAGATGGAAGAAAAGGTGTCTCGCATCCTGGAACGGAGTTTCGATCGCCTGGATAAATATGAAAGGAATTGCTTCTTGTATTGCTGTCTTTATCCGGAAGATAGTGATATAAAAAGAAAGGAACTAATAGTCCTGTTTATTAGGGCAGAGCTGATGTCAAAACGGGAATCATGGTCAGAAGAATTTGATCAAGGTCACACAATATTAAACAAACTGATTAGAGTTTGCTTGCTGGAAAAAACTACAGATGACTGTGTGAAGATGCATGATTTGGTCAGAGATATGGCAATAAGGATCACGCATGGAAACTCCAAACCAGAGAGCAGCAGAGATGATGTACCACGATTCTTGGTGAAAAGCTTGGGAAAGGGAAATTCTAAAGTAACACAAAATTGGACAGAAGATCTCCATGCGGTTTCCTTCTATTCACAAAATTTCAAAGAAATAGAAATTCCACCAGCCTGGTCACCAAATTGTCCTAAGCTCTCGACCTTGCTTCTTTCTTGGGTTTCCATAAAAGAAATCCCAGATTCATTCTTTCGGCACATGTGTGGACTTAAAGTTTTGAATCTATCTTTGTGCAAAGGTATAACAGAGTTGCCTAATTCTGTTTCGGACATGGTGAATCTTACTGCCCTGATTTTGAGGTCTTGTAGTGACCTCCAATCTGTGCCACCACTGGGAAAGCTCAAGCAATTGAGGGATTTGGACCTATCCTCCACTAAGATTGAGGATTTACCTGAAGGTTGGGAGTCACTGGTCAACCTCGAAAGGCTTAACTTGGACGAGTGTCGGAGTTTAAGACGAAAGATAATAATACCAAAAGAGACATTTTCCAAATTGACCCGTCTTCAATGGCTAGCATTGCCACTCTATGGTAGGGTACAAGTTAATGATCCAGAAGTGTTGAACCAATTAGAATGTTTTAAAGGATATTTGTCTCTTACGAATTTCTATAAAATTACTCGGTGGCCAAAATACTATATGGTTTATATCAATGACATCTTAACTAAGTATCCATTTTATGGTTGTGGGGACCAGAAACAACTGTATTTCCATCAGTGTGAGCTTGGTAGAGGATCGAACAATCTGCCAGATGATATGGAATGTCTGGTAATCGAGGATTGTGAGGGCATGGGCATTAGGTGCTTGTCAGATGTTTTTAAGAATTTTATAAATTTAAGCCACTTATCTGAATTGTATATTAAGGATTTGGTTGGAATAGAGTTCCTCTGGCAATTGTCCTCTGCTTCTCCACGTGATCAGTTGGAAGTCTCGTATTTTAGTCCACTCTGTGATCTCCAAGTGCTAAGCCTCTCCGGGTTGCCAAATCTGGTTGGTCTATTTTACGGAGAATCAGAACCATCATATTTGCTTCCAGCTGGCACCTTTTCTTCCCTCAAATATTTGTGGATTTCTGAATGTCACAACATGAAGCAGCTATTCACAGTGCAGTTGCTGCAGAACCTTCAAAATCTTGAATTATTAGATGTTAAAAATTGTGAAGGACTGGAAGAGATAGCAGCAGATGGCAATGGAGAAGGACAAGGAGGAGGAGAAGGCACCCAATTGACCTCATGTGAAGGAGCCACCGCCACTGTCATCAACCTTCCGAAATTGAGGCGGTTGCATCTGGATAACCTGCCACAACTGAAGAACGTTTGCAAGGCAGCCATGATCTGCAATTCAATTGAGGATATTGCAATATTCGGTTGTCCAAATTTAAAGAGGCTGCCTTCGTTTCTTTCTGCCATCGACGGACCACCAAATTTGCTTCCAGCTGGCACCTTTTCTTTCCTCAGAGTATTGTGGATTTCTAAATGTCACAACATGAAGCAGCTATTCACAGTGCAGTTGCTGCAGAGCCTTCAAAATCTTGAAGAATTACACGTTTGCAATTGTGAAGGACTGGAGGAGATAGCAGCAGATGGCAATGGAGTAGGACAAGGAGGAGGAGAAGGCACCCAATTGACCTCATGTGAAGGAGCCACCGCCACTGTCATCAACCGTCCGAAATTGAGGCGGTTGCATCTGCGTAACCTGCCACAACTGAAGAACGTTTGCAAGGCAGCCATGATCTGCGAATCAATTGAGGATATTGCAATATTCGGTTGTCCAAATTTAAAGAGGCTGCCTTCGTTTCTTTCTGCCATCGACGGACCACCATATTTGCTTCCAGCTGGCACCTTTTCTTCCCTTAAAAAATTGAGCATTTCTAAATGTCACAACATGAAGCAGCTATTCACAGTGCAGTTGCTGCAGAGCCTTCAAAATCTTGAAACATTAACAGTTATAGAATGTGAAGGACTGGAGGAGATAGCAGCAGATGGCAATGGAGTAGGACAAGGAGGAGGAGAAGGCACCCAATTGACTTCAAGTGAAGGAGCCACCGCCACTGTCGTCCTTCCGAAATTAAGGCTGTTGCATCTGGGGCGGCTGCCGCAACTGAAGAACATTTGCAAGGCAGCCTTGATCTGCGATTCAATCAAGGAGATCGCAATATTTAATTGTCCAAATTTAAAGAGGCTGCCTTCGTTTCTTTCCACCATCAACGGACTACCATCTGTTCCCACTACTCTTCACAAAATCAGGGGAGATAAAGAATGGTGGGAATCATTAGAATGGGACAATTCCTACACCAAAAATGCCCTTGACCCATTTATTACTACAACAGATCGTCGACAGGATCTGATGATCATGTACGTCTTTTGTCCCCTTCCTCTAATGTTACCAAGTATCCCTTTTCTTTGACCTTTTTCCCCAAAATGATCTGCTTCTCCACTTGCATAGAATTTGATATTGCATAGGAATCAATATTAAGTCTTTCTGTGTTGAGCTTAATTTTTTCTTTGTCAACTACCTTTGTGGCAGTGTAGAGTTGCCAACACCCTTTCTTCAATTAATTTGCGTAATTTACTACATATAATGTTCTCTCCCTCCCCCCCCCCCCCCCCTCTTTTTTTGAGTTTGTCTGATGGGAAAATGGATTTAAGTGCTTTATTTTCTCTATCTGTCTTTATTCTTGTTTATTTTGGAGTTCAATGTCATCATAAATTTTCTCTATTTTTTTTTCCATTTTATGCTGTTGAATGTTCTCTGTCTATCCCTTTTTTCTAGAGTGGCTCAAGTTCTGCTCTACTGACTTCCTTTTCGATGGTACCAAATTGCCAACTGCACCTTTTCTTATAGTCAATCTGATGTTATCTACTGCGTACAGCATTTTAATTTTTTTTTTCAAATTTTTCTTAGAGTTAATCTTTCCTACACTGACGGTGTATACACTATCAACGTTAGATTCATGACATGTGTGTAAAAGTTGAATTTCTTATGTCTGAAATTTAAATTTTTTTTTTTTTTTGCTCTCTCTGCATCTCTTCTTCTTCATTTCTAGATTCAGTGTTTGTATTAATTTATTCTGTGAATGATCTGATCTCTGTGTTATTTTCTTTTTCTTTCATTTCCTGCTGTTGAAGGTTGTCTTGTTTTTCCCCTTTTCTGAAGAGGCTTTGCAGATAAAGCTGTAGGGCATATATATTTGCAAATGTTTAAATTCCAAATTTCATATTGAGACCATAATAAGTTGGAAGGAAGTAGAATTGCAAAGTAACTTACATGATTGCACTTTGCTTTAGTATCATAATAAGTTCTGTTTGTCAATAATTCTCAGGTTAAGCAAGCCTGTGAGTGCTGTGCCTGTGAGTCGTCACTCCTCTCATTTTGCTAACAAATACAGTCCTTTCAAAGAAAACAAACGGGTGTTAACGCAGATAAAAGTAAGATCACTTCTTTTCAATGTGTTATTAACGCAGTTCTGCAGAACTGAAACAGTCGATTAAACTCAGAGATACAGATACCATACGGTTTAGCTACCATGCTCGAGAATACTAAATATATCATTCAAAAGACAGTGCAAGAAAACCCCCAGAAATGCAGATTTGCAACAAATAAACAAAGGATCCAGTGAGTGCAGTGCTCGCAGATATCAAGCAACAGTAGTTGAAGAAGAACCATTATTTGCACAACTTCTCTCATTCCTCAAGTTTTGTGAATTGATTCATCCCAAAACATGAAACATTAAATGCCTCCTAAAAATTTGACTACTTGAACAAAAAGAAGGGAACAATAACTTGTCAAATTATTGAGTAAACTAAGGTTCTGAAAATGGCACAAGCTGCAATTATATTTAATTTGATGAAAGATTCGAACTTGAAATTTGTTTTATGGAAAAGATGGAAAAGGCCAGCAACTTTTATGAGGGGAAAAACCAAATAATAAAGGCATTGTTTGAAGTTATGGATTTTAATGTGGTGAGATTACGCCTTGGACGAGACATTCTTTCTAAAAAATACCTCCTGATAAATGGCTTTTTTTATAGCTCACTTGGAACTCGGCAAGACAAAAGGATATGAAAGAAAAGATTTCAAAAAGAAGATGCTTTGTGATGATTGTGAGCCCTCCCAAAAAAAAAAAAAAAAAAAAAATCCCTTTACAAAGTTTGAAATTAGGGAGAAACATTATATGACGCTCTAATATACTTGACATCCTGAAAAGGATCGAATTATTTTCTATCAATAAAAATGCAAGACCAACTTTTTTTTTTTTTTTTTGAAATATGGTTGGAGTTTAATAGTCGCCTACTCTTTTTAATAGACGCCTACTACTTTATAATAGACAATAAAGTAGAGTACGAGATAAATGAAAGGCCTTACCTCCGGAATAAGTACAATGTCGAATAAGGTGCGTTTTTTCTCAAAAAAAAAAAAAAAAAAAAAAGTGGGTTTCGGAGGCTTCTGGGCCTTGCCGCAAGAAACTTAACTTCGAGGGTGAAAAACTGTAAGGGGATGGCATTTGTAAGGACCCCATCGATTCTTGGTCCAGTTTGTGGACTTGTGGGCTATTGGGCAATTGCTGAAATTAAAGAATCTTGTGAGCTATATGAATGAAAGAAATATTTTGTTCCACAATACCCCAATCACGTTCAGCTGGCAAATCTATCAATTGCGTCTTATTGAAACTCATATTTGACCATTTTTACTTGTACATCTTGGGTTCACTTGAAATATGATCATCAAAAATGGAAAAAACAAATCACTTGTGTTGTTTCATTGAATCAATATAGAAAAAGAGCACTATCTAATTAATTGGAAATGATATCTATGATATTACAAGATTCTCAACCATATTTCAAGTAGTAGCAGATTTCAATCCAAAGCAGAAGGATCTTGCTAGGAATACCGCAACTTTAATCTGGACTTCTAATTAATCTTACTGTTAATTAATTGATTTATCGGCTGGACAATCTTAGCAATTTTATACCAGGTTTCTAACCAGTTGCCAAGTTTCTTCCCATGACTTTCCTATCAGGTTTCCGTGGTTTTCATCGTCAATCTCATTCTCAACGTCTAAAAAGAGGTTGCTTCTTCCTCTATTAACCCACCTATCCCTCGTCCATCAGCCGTTCTTCCCGTCCTTGTGACGATTCTCATCGTATTAGCTTTAAGATATATTTCATTCTCAAGAAATCTTTAAGGTATATTTCATTCTTCAAAGACCTTTCCTGTTGAAGTTTAAAGGTATAATTTATTTGACACACATAATCTAGCAACAAAGCACGAGATTTGCAGGGGGAGAGGGCACATTTTGTTTCATCAATTATTGCTGTTGTAAAATCTAAAATTCTTTGGTCTCTTTTTATCAGATGACAGATGCAGTTTGGAAGGCCATCCATATGGAAATCATTGTGCATATCATTGGGAACGCTATAGCTAAAATGATACTACAGCTTGGCAAGGTTATAGAGAAGGTGGAGGACACAGCAGTTGAGAGGGGAGCACTTTGTTTCATGAATTCCTTATGTTGTAAAAACTAACATATTCTCTTCTGGTCTATATTTTATTAGATGGATGCAAGTTTGAAGGCCATGGATATGGTGATGCAAATCATTTTTAATATCAGTGGGAAGGCTATAACTGAAATGATACCACAGCTTGGCAAGTTCACAGAGAAGGTGGAGGACATAGCATTTGAGAGGAGGGCGGCGCATTTCATTTCATCAATTCTTTTTGTCGTACAAACTAACAGTAACATTCCTTGTTTGTTCGTTTTTATTAGATTTTGGATGCAAGTTTGAAGGCCATGGCTATGGCGATGCAAATCATTACGACTATCATTACGAAGACTACAGCTGAAATGTATCGACTGCTTGGCAAGTTCGGTGAGAAGGCGGAGGACGTAGCATTTGAAAGGGCTGCAAATGTATCAGTGGACGCAGGGACGAGTTACTTGAGCTTGGGATCTGATATGCAATTGCTGCCCAGGAATCTGAACGCATTGAGGAGCAGAGCATCTGACATAAAGGAGGATGTGGAAAGAGCCGAGCTGTCCGGACGACAGAAGAGGAAAACTGAGGTCAAACATTGGCTGGAGGAAGTAGAAACATTATTAGATAATGATTTCATTGCATTACAGAGAAGGGAACAACAGGGGGGGATTTTGAACCGTTTGTTGATTGAAGGCCATGCCAGAAAGATGAAAAATCAGGCGAATGAATTAACTGAACAAAGCCGGCATTTTAAGGTAAATTCTGTAGTGTATTCACATATTTCAAAGACAGGTGTGGAAAGTAAATTATATGGCAAAAAAGCAGGCACGTGGAAAGGTAAAGAATATGTCAAAGAAACTGACATGTACGGATGATGAAAGGAATATGTTTACAAAAGCAAATAGTGACCTATAACAGGCACGGGCCGGTTTGGAAATGTTGTGTATGGCAGAAGCTGAAAATGTATTGGGGTGTCACGGAATTAACTTATATATAATGGGTCTAGAAATAAAACACCAAAGAGAAAGGGTAAGCAGTACTAAACACAGCCATGCTTGGTACATAAACTGATTTTTATGAAAGTAAAAAATATATTGCCCATAACATACCTATTCTTTATAATTTTTTTTTTTTGCATTACATCAACAAAACACTAGCTATTTACGGGTATTTTATTCTGAATCATTACATTTATATAAAATACATAAATATTTGTAACTAAAATTGAAAAAGTGTTACACTAATATTTTTACGAAAGGAAAACTAGTAAATTTTATATTAAACAAATTTTAAATATGTGAAAGTAAAAAATTTTTGCCCATAACATACCAGCTCTTTATGAGTTTTTTGCAATACATCAACAAAATACTAACTATTTATAGGTATTTTACTCTGAATTATTACATTTATATAAAATACATATATGTTTGTAACTAAAATTGAAAAAGTATTATACTTATACTTTTACGAAAGGAAAACTAGTAGATTTTGCATTTAACAAATTTTAAATATTTGAAAGTAAAAAAGATTGCGCCCATAATATACCAGCTCTTTATGGATTTTTTTGCATTACATCAACAAAATACTAGCTATTTATGGGCATTTTACTCTGAATCACTACATTTACATAAAATACATAAATGTTTGTAACTAAAATTGAAAAAGTAATATACTTATATTTTTACAAAAGAGAAACTGGTAAAATTTGTATTTAACATAAATTAAATATGTTAAAGCAATATTAAAGGTGATTTTATTAGTTACTTAATTTGTTGGTAAGAAACAAGGTTTCTTTTGCAAAATTTGTTCATTAGATATTTTTTTCAAATAATTAGGATATAAAGGTAAATTTTCACAATCTTTTGTTAGCAATAGACCCCAATTTCCTCCTAGGCAGTGACGAAACCAAGATTTTTTCCTTGATGGAAGGGCCAAAATGATTGATAAATAAAATTATTTTAATATGTTATGTTCAAAATAATTTTCATCTATTTAAATATATGACATCCTAAAATATCAAATATTAACTTTAATTATAAAGGTATGTCTATTTAATAAATATGTAGCATAGTCATAACTAAAATTAAGACAAGAAATAACATTTGATTAAATATCTTATACGAAAAAATGCACTTTTCATTCTCAAAATTTGGGTGGTTGACCAATTTCATCCTCAAAATTTCACCCCAAACATATTGCATGCTCAAAGTTTCGTAATTTTTGCCAATTAAGGACAATTGACGGGAAATGAAGAATTAATCATTAGAACCAACGATTTTATCCAACAAAAAATGGGTAAAACCGAATAGAGCCATTTTTAACAGAACAATTGCAACGGACAAAAAACTCAATTCTTCTCCTTCTTTGCTCTACCTTTCTGTAACCCCAAAATTTTTTTGCCAATCTTTAAAATTTTAACAACCGTTATACAACTTTCAAAACAAATAAATTCATTCTAAATTTTTATTTGGGATTATTTTATAAACCAAATCGCGGTCACTTTGTGTAAAGTATCACTTTCCCAAAAAAGACCAACTCTTTATGGCTTTCCTCCATTATAAGAACAGAATACCCATTTTTTCATAACTAAATTTATTTATCGAATAAAATAAAAATAAATCCATTTTCTAATAAAAAATCAGCTCTTTATGACTTTCCTATATTATAAGAACAGAGTACCCATTTTTCCATAAACAAATTTATTTATCAGATAAAATAAAAATAAATCTATTTTTCATTATAAGACCAACTTTTTATAGCTTTCCTCCATTATAAAAATAGAGTACCCATTTTTTCATAAATAAATTTATTTATCGGATAAAATAAAAATAAAGCCGTTTTATAATAAAAGATCAGCTCTTTATGACTTTCCTCCATTTTAAGAATAGAGTACCCATTTTTTCTCAGACAAATTTATTTATCAGATAAAATAAAAATAAACCCATTTTTTCAATAAAATATCAGCTCTTTATGATTTTCGTCTATTATAAGAATAGAGTACTCATTTTGAAGGCAAAAAGGAATTTGTTTATCGGATAAAATAAAAATAAACTCATTAATGTCAATATTGAGATATAGCAAAATGCTGGCCCACCTCTCAATGTGATTTTCAATGGGATAAGATTTGCACAGTACATATAGCAAATTGTCATAGCCCCTGTTCCTTCACATGTGTGTAGAGGCGGTAATTGTCATGAATTGCTTACAACTTATTCCCTCCAAACCTTTTCTTATAATGGAGTTTCTGATTTTATCCAAGTAATAAAGTATTTCAGTGAAAAAAGGAAAAATAGAAAATTTATGAAGGAAAGTCACAAAGAGCTGGTATTTTATTGAAAACCATCGACCCTTTACCAAAGACGATCAAATGCAGCTAAATGATTTTCTTGCAAGAAAGTTGCCGAAAGCAGCTTTGTGACTGTAGTTGCTACTTTTTTTTTCAACCATTTTTTTAGCAAGAGGTATCATTAATGTCAATATTGAGATATAGCAAAATTTGTATACGAAATAACAAACCAATTTGTCATTACAAATACAAAACGAGCAATAATATATTACAACCAATACTATCAACAGTACAAAGCACAAAGATACTCAAATCAAATTCTAATTGGGCTTTAATATGTACAACCAAAATTGCTAGGGATAACAAATGCTAAGATAGACCCTGTGCCAATATACAATGAGTATCATGTTTGCATTAATTGGCGAAGTCCATAATCGAAGTAGCTTGTGAGAGCTTCATAACCATATCATGTTTGTTCTCCTCCACCATTTTTATTTCTTCAATTACATGCGTATCCATTACTGAATAAACCAAAACACAGAGTCAAATACTACTAGAGAGACGCGACTACATATATAAACCTCCTTGGAGGAAAAGAAATACTCTGTACAGATTATAAATCAAATGAAAATGACATTTTACATTTCTGTTGGTCAGAAACTTTTAGTGAATATCAAATTTTGGTTCAAGACTATTAAAAGGACCGGTTACCTGAGCTGGGTGATGGTGTTTCATGTCTTCTCGAGGTCTACTAACAATGTCTTGTTCATTCCTCGAAGATGATGATTGACCACCTGATGGTGATGCTGCATCCCCTCAAGTTGAAGACAGTGGGACTCTCATGATTGTTCAAATCAAATGCAGCTTTGTTTTCACTTGGGTCATCAAACACAGAGATTCTGAGTTCAAAATATGGAGAATCCAACGTTATCTCTCCTTATTTACTCAGGAAGTTAAGACGAGGATCACATTGAATAAGCTTTTCGAAATGCTTTCCCAACAAGCCTTGTGGACACTGCAGAAAATGATGCCTGCCAGAAATCCCAGAAAAAATGCCAATCAACGGTGAGTCAGACCATTGTTGTATTGCACTTAGTCTCCAGAGATTGAGCAAAACAACGAAAAGAAAAAACTGTCACTTAAATAATTGTAACACTGCCAAGCTAGTCAACACATCAATATCGACATATCTTAGATTACCATTCAAGTTATTCATGTTTCCATGAAAAAGAAATTAAAGCCATACTTAACAAAAGAATGTAATATCAGGATTAGAGGTAAAGCAGAGAGTGAACGAGATGAAAAAAAAGTAAAAAAGAAGAAGAAGGAAAGAAATGTTGTTTTTGTCAGTTAGCAATTAAATATTGACATGGTTTCACAGCCAAGAAGCCCCTTCCAACAGGCAAAGATCTCACTTTGTAGCAATATAGAATGGAATACATCCAGTAAGGATGATGATGTTAAACTACAACTTATCCTCACCAGAGCAACAAGACAAATGAGGTATGATACCCTAATGTTTAATGATATTATCAAGCATATGTGATGCGTCCCACTCCCCATGACTCTAATGGGCATACATAGTCAACTGTAATATTGCCTTTAGACGATAGACATATGGAACACTTCATGGCATAATTTATATTGCTCAACCATACACTGATAAGCAAATAACAGAAAGAAAATGTGGTATATGTCCGAGATCTGGAGATCCAGCATGTGCAGAGTGTACAGTTGTCCATAAAATCGTAGAAAACTTCCTCGAGTTAACTTCACTGTAAAAATAATTAATTGTAGAAACAATAGTCAGAAAATAACATCTAGTTACGTGGACCACCATTTTCAGACCAAATGTGTGGGAACTGGGAAGTAAAGGCTAACCAGAACGAGCCCCACTGGGCCAATAGCAGTATGCCCGACCATACTTCCAAGGCTTGGCTTACCAATTCGGTCATAAAGTTGCTTTCTTTTTGCACTACTAGTCCTTATTAAATCGAGCTCCGTCACATTCTGATATTAATTACAATTAACACCTCAACATTTGAGAGTGTCATCATCTTCATTGAGCACAATTTGCAATCTTTGTGCAGAAAAATATATGAAAGTTAAAGACAAAAAAAAAAGGAAAATAGCCAAGCAGATCGCCATTGTTGCAGGGGAAACATTGCACATTTTACTCCATACAAACTGCAACATCCCCCATTATCCTTCAGTAGTAATTAAGAGAAAGAGTTCTTTGAGATTACTGTGAAAAACTTACCAAGAAATAAGGAAAGGCTCGTTCAAGTAGTTGTAAACACTGATAATCAAGTTATCATCGGTGACACAGTCAATGTGTGGCCCTAGAAACTGCCCATTTATCAAGATTCCCTGCAGCATATACACTTCCGACTCTTAACCACCCAAAAATTCGAGCAAATTCAAGAAACACATTGCCACATGCATATCATAGTACAAGTCATTAACAACATAAAAACATGTTTTGGTGCATATACATTACCCGTTGTTTGACACCCAATGGGTATATATCACCATAAGTGATTTTCCAAGTGTAGAACCTATATGGGTTATCAGCATTTGCTCCATTGAGAACAGAAACAAGAAGAATGCAACTGCTAATGAGAGAACAAAAAATCTTGCAGTCCCTCATCCCTTTTTTTCCCCTTCTCTAAGAATTTTGTTCTCAAAGAAAGATTTCCTTGGATTCCTTCGGTGAAGGCCAAAGGGTGGGGAGGAAGAAAATGAATGGGTCAGTATGTCTTCTGGCAAATTCGGGACAGATATGTAAGGCGAGGCTTGTGAGTGAGTTGTCAGTGAAGAGAGATTAAAAGCATTAAGAAATTGCGGTGAAGGAAGTCAGATGGTCAGAGAATTCAGAATTCAGAGGTGATTTTAGGGAGTTGTCTCCCTAAAGAAAAGAGGTTGTCCTGCAAGCTACACCATTAAAAAGAAAAAAACATGTTTTCACTATAAAAAATTCATAATAACGACATACAAAGTAATTAACAAAGACACAGTAAGTGTTGCTAATACCACTACATCCAAAGTCCCCGGTCCGTCATCAGGATAATTCGCCTTCAAAGCCATTATATCAGACCATTGAATTTCAATCTTATTCTTGAGCCCGCCATCAAGAACCTCCCGTACAAGCTTATGCTTTGCAAAATAACACTTTGCTACCAAATCCCCTTCATATCTTGACTTATACTAGAAATTAGAACAAAGACATGCAATCAAAATTAACGAAATCATAAGCAATCCAATAAAACAAGCTTCTAAAATCCATGATCCAATGCAAATGTATAAATATACCTCCCAGGTCCCAATTCGCAGAATAGTTGCTGGAAAATTTGAAGCCTTGAGCTTCTCAGAGGAACCAGAAGCAGCGGCCCCTTTAAGCTCTTTTTTACTGGAACTTGCACCCTTAGGTGAATTAGCTTGAGAAAGCCTCATTTGGATCAATTCCAAAAGGGAAGGACTTTTCCTCAGCCTCAATCCCAATGGACTCGGCTCGTCTAATGGGTTATACTGAGCCGGCGGTGCCACCTGAAAGCCACCCACTTCCCCACTTCCCTGCTGCTACAGCCAAACTCCCCTGAAAGTACATCAGAAATTGAACTTTCCAATCATACAGACAAGACCACATAGAATAAAATCAGGAAAAAAAAACCCAAAATTCACACAAACTCCTAAAAACTGATAGATGTTCAAGATCCAATTTTGACGGGCCGTTTTCATTTTGCCTTCCAGTAAGACCCATTTCTCTACTCCAACTGAGATAAGCATTTCACTCTAATCCACTGAAGTAGAAGTCTACAATTTCAAAAAGTTTTTCTTGCGATTGTTAAATTGACCAAAAATGCAAGAAAAAGGCAATTGACAAAACAGAGATGAAAATAACATATTATAAAACCTACACCATCGCTTTTCCTTGAAGTCTGCCATTGCATCGGAAGGGTCTTTAAAGTGTGTCCATGATTGTATAAATTCAGATCTAGATGATAGAGAGGAAGAGAGGAACCATATGTCTATGGAAAACTGAAAATTAATAGAGAGGGAAAGAGAGATAGAAGGAGAAAGGTGCAGAGGAGGTTGCGATTGAACTTTCGAGCGCTCTGATCTGAGAACAAATATTTGGGAAAGTAGCCTTGCAAGTATGGAAGGCTTGGAATTCATGTGGTGCTAGGCTTGACAAGTGCTATGCCGGGAATGATTAAAAAATTTTCCCGCGGCTCTGCTAAAAATTGGAAGGGCGCAAAATTTTGAAATTTTCACAAAAAAGCACCCATGATTTCTCACCAATAACATAGAAACTTTGGCCCACTAGAATTAGTATTTGGAGGGAAGCTTTCCCGCTCTCTTTTTTTGCGAGAATTTTAAGCGAGAAAAGTCGTTGCCCTCGCAGAGTATATGATGGCTCCAATTTTTGGTGAGGTATTGTCCTTTTCCTTGCTATAAGCCTCTTAAGAGCGTCAAGCTTTCTATTTCTTCCTAAAGTTGTTGTCGCTAATACCCTTTTTTGTTGTAGTGAAGGGAGGAAAACCATAAAAAACTGGTGTTTTATTGAAAAATATATTTAGTTTTTCATCCGATAAATAAATTTATTTATGAAAAAATGGGTACTCTGTTCTTATAATAGATGAAAACTATAAAGAACTTGTGTTTTATTGAAAAACGGGTTCATTTTTATTTTATTCGATAAATGATATTTTTCTTTTTAGAAAAATGGGTACTATATTCTTATAATTGAGGAAAGTCATAAAGAACTGGTTTTTTATTGAAAAAAGAGTTTATTTTTATTTTATTCGATGTTTATGGCAAAATGGATACTCTTTTCTTATAAGGGAGGGAAGCCATAAAGAGCTGATGTTTTATTGAGAAACGGGTTCATTTTTTTTTCGATAAATAAATTTTTTTTATCCGATAAATAAATTTGTTTATGGCAAAATCGGTACACGGTTCTTATAATAGAGGAAAGGCATAAAGAGTTAGGATTTTATTGAAAAATGGGTTTATTTTTATTTTATCTAATAAATAATTTTTTTTAGAAAATGGGTACTCTGTTCTTATAATAGAGAAAAGTCATAAAGAGTTTATTTTTTTATTGAAAAACGGGTTTATTACAATTTTATTCCAGCCAACTGTGACCCATTTTCCCATTAACCTATGTTAGACGGACTAAATCATTGAGTTTGTTAACCACAGTCAAAATTAACACAGAAGCAACTGACTCAAATTACTCAATCCTTTATGGCTTATACCAAATGAATACTAGGAAGCTTATTTGAAATAACAATAAAAATATTCTATAAATGATTAAAATTTAGTACATTAGTTAGTAAGTACTTGTAACATACTTGTATAATGCATGATTATATGTATAATTTAATATTCTTTTGTACTTATATATTTTAAAATATTTTGTGAAAAATATTTTGACCTTTCACATAACCTTAGAAAATAATAAAATTTTATCGTATTATAAAATAATAATTTTATCTTATTATATTCATAGGTTTTAAGTTATAAAAATTGTGATATAGAAACAAGTGATATTCTACATGTAACTAGGAAGATTTGTTGTTATTGTTATCTAAACTTTTAAATTTTTCAAAAATTGAAAATGATTACAAACTTACTATTCTACAATTAGTATAATTTGTTAATTAGCCAAAATTCTAGCAAAAGGCAAGCAAATGCAACTTGTAATCAATCCATTCTGATGCATGAAAAAATAAGATAGCATTCTGCAAATAAATAAAAAAATCCACTTTATATAGTTCGTTGTGACAACCAGGCTTATCCCCACTTTTATTTGAGTTTTGATTACAATGGATATAACATATTCCCTCCAAACCCCAAATTTTGAATTATAACATTCAACCAAAACATGCTCAAACTCTCAGGCTCGGTCATACAAAGACAACTAGTGTGAATATCCGTGCTACGCACGGTACTTACATTATTAAAATAAATTAAAAAATTATACCATTTTAATTTGAAAAAAGTTAAAAAAATTATACCAACATAATTAAAATTTAAGATTTGTCTAACAATAGTTCAAAATATGACAAAAACTGTAAATCATTCAAGAATTGTGTTTTTGCAAAAGATGGATCTTAAAATAATAATAATAATTTATATTAGAAAATGAATGATATATGGATAGAAATAAATGTAATTGCATTTTTTTTTATTTTAAAATGAAATACTTACCAATATTATGCATTCGATTTGATAATCTTATATATATATGCATTATGAGAATATATATATATGTATGTATATATGTGTGTGTGTGTGAATTAACTACCTTTGAATTAATTTTTATTAAAAAAATTATTTATTTTTAATGCCTTTATAATTTGTGAATGATTGTGAGAGTAAAATATATTATGACAATAAGATACGTTGAATTGTGAAAATTGTAATTTAAACAGGCTCCTAAATTTTGGATATTTGACTTTCGTAGTTGCGAATTTCTTAAATTAACGGTTAGTTATTACTCTAAGTGATATGGTAAGTGTCAGTAATAAATGTGAGATGTGAATTGGAATTTGCAAATATCATTTTACAGGGGTGGTTATTATCCGTTAGTTAAAGTTTAGGAGTTTGAATTTTATGGGGTAGTGGAAAAAACATAAGGGAAATGTGGAAAAAATATAAGTATGATTATAGGATTTGTAGGGCCGGTTACATGATTAGTTAAGAGATAAATATTTTTTAATTAAAAAATGTAAAATTCTATTAAAATAGCATTCAGACTTTTGATAATTTTGAAAGCTCCTTATCTAAAACCCCCTCAGCAATACATTTAGATATAGATACTAAGCGATAGTTATGATAGCGCAATAGTTTTTACCTGATATAACACGTTGTTACACTTTTAGCGATCATTTGATTTATTGTTGGACATATTCGCCTAAATAAAATAACACCTAAAATTATGGAAGTAAGTTTCCTATCTAAAATAGTAAGTTAAGTGTAATAGATTAGTAACTTTTATACCTCAAAAGGTAAATTGGAATAAATATTAAACTTAATTTTTAAATAAATAGATTACTACTTGATATCCCAAACTTACTTTTAAAAGAGTAAGTTTAGTTCAAATAACAGTAAGTTTTTATACATCAATAGTAATTCTTACTAATAACATGGCAATAAAAATGATTAAGGATCAAAATTTACCATTTTTTGGAATGCATGTACAATTTTTACATTAAAACCTTATCTCAAAGTAGTATTAGAAAGCTTATTTGAAATAATGATAAGATGTTTTTATTAATGATTAAAACTTAGTACCTTAGTTAGTAAGCACTCATAATATACCTTAGTAAGTTTAATTCAAGTAATAGTAAGTTTTTATACATAAATAGTAATTATTACTGATAACATAGCAAATTTGATTAATAATCAAGATTTATTGATTTATGGGACGCATGTATTATTTTACTTTAAAACTTATTTCAAACTAATATTAGGAAGTTTATTTGAAATAACGATAAGATGTTTTATCAATGATTAAAACTTAGTACCTTAGTTAGTAAGTACTCATAATATATTCGTATAATACATTATTATAGGTATAATTTAAAATTTGTTGTACTTATATATTTTAAAATACTATGAAAAATAGTATGAACTAAACCTACTCTCCAAAAAGTAAATTTCTGATATGCAGTAGTAATTTATTTTTAAAAAATTTAAGTTGCATATATTATTTCAATTTACGCTTGAACATACATCGATCGGTGCTCTTTGGATGCGTCCAAACTCCAGTGAATGTCTTTAAACTAAATTCTAATCAAAGTAGTATCCAAAATGTAATGATTTAGAGTAAAATGCTCATAAAATTTAGTACAAGGATAGCTAGTGTGAATATCCGTGCTATCCAAAATATTTATGTATTTTACATAAATATAATGATTCAGAGTAAAATGCCAATAAATAGATAGTATTTTGTTGATGTAATGCCCATAATCGGTGGCCCCAGGATGGCTTTGTTTAGTAATTAGTACTGCTTACGCTTCTTCACAAATGTTTTATTCTTAGGCCCTTTATATTTATGTTAATTCCGTGACATCCCAACACACTTTTAGCTTCTGCAGTACGCAACATTTCCAAATCCCGGTTATAGGTCACCACTTACTTTTGTAAAAATAACCCTTCTTGATCCGTACATGTCAGTTTCTTTGACATATTCTTTACCTTTCCACGTGCCTGCTTCTTTGCCATATGCTTTACTTTCCACACGTCTTCTTTGATTACTAAACATACTGCAGCAACATCCGCATTTTAATGGACTTCTGCTTGAAAAAACAGGAGAATGAAAAGCCCCAAAAATCAAGTTGGAGAAACTTCTATTGATGATAAAATTAATGGGACTGTTATTTGGATGAACATCCAAGTAGGGTCAGATCTCCTTCAAGAGATATGCAGATATTTTTTTTTTTGGTTACTTTTGTCTTTTGATGACTCTGCGAAAGTTTCAGCAAGAGGAAAGAGTTGAGGTGAAACCTGAGACATAAAATTAAATGAAATAGTTAACTTCATTTATGAAAATCTTTTTAGTCTTTGATTGGTAATAATTAGTATGATGTTATTTGTTTTCTTCTTTTTATGATTGTTTACTGATATGCTCTAGTAAATAATAAAAAAAAAGAATTACTTCACCAAAATTTTGCTATGGGGTTGTAAGATAAATATGCACCTCTATCTATGTAGTGGTTGAAGGCATGAATGTTGTATTTTATCAAAAGACGTCTTGTTTGGATTGTCATTTGTTTTTATAAAAAAATTTTATATTTTTATGAACACATTTCTCACTTACTTTTTTATTTTATATGTATTAAATTCTTAAAATATATATTTTTTATAAAAATTTCAGAAAATAGCAATCCAAATTTTATATTTTTCCAAGAACTTGGTGTAGGTGAGGTGAGGAAATATTTTTCCAAAATGGTATGAAGTACAAACCATAAAAGAGTACTGGAACTTAAATTGAAAAAATTCAAGACATGTCCATGTCTTTTATTTGCTCAAGTATTAGTTTTATTACCACACCAAACTATTTACTTTGCCAATAATGACACCGGGAGATGTAAAAGTTTTACTCAATTTCCAGTTCGGCATTTCGGAAAGCCTTCCTCGCAATTTCCTGGAAGTTTCCTTGAGTCGTCGTTGTC